TGCCTCTGCCTCCCAAGTAGCTGGGACCACAGGCGCCCACCACAACGCCTGGCTATTTTTTGGTTGCAGCCGTCATTGTTTTGGCGGGTCCAGGCTGGGGATTCGAACCCGCCACCTTAGGTGTACGTGGCTGGCGCCTTAGCCGGTTGAGCTATAGGCGCTGAGCCTGAGCTATAGGCGCCGAGCCAGGAAGCCCTTTCAATGGCTTTCTTTCAGCCATTAAAAAAATAAGTTCTACAAAAATTTATCAAGAATACAGGGTGGCCATAAAGTTTGTGTGCAATTTAAAATCACGCACAAACTTTATGGCCACCTTGTATATGTGTGTGTGTATGTGTAATTATATTTATGTATGGATATGTCATCCGTGTGCAGGGGGCATGCTAATCTTCTCTGTATTGTTCCAATTTTAGTATATATGCTGCCGAAGCAAGCACTATATGTATATGTATGTGCATGCATGTGTGTGTATATACACATTTTTTTTTTTTTTGAGACAGAGTCTCACTCTGTTACCCAGGCTAGAGTGCTGTGACAGTTAGCCTGGCTCACAACAACCTCAGATTCCTGGGTTCAAGTGATCCACTTGCCTCAGCTTCCCAGAGTGCTGGGATTACAGGTGTGAGCCACCATGCCAAGCTTCAAGAATATATTTTGTGTTCTGTAGAATAGGATGAATTATAGTAAGGGAATTAGTTTTTCTTGTTTGAAATTCATAAAACATCAACGTCATCACGACTTTGGGATTAAAAAAAACCTCATCTTACAATGACACATGAATACAACGATGAATCCATTGAATGGATGCTGAATTTGTGTTTGTGGAGAAAGGTACTTGACATTCTTTTGAAAAACATTTTTATTTATTTTACTGATACATGTATAATGTACATATTTATGCGTTATGTGTGACATTTTGAAATATGCATGCCATGTCTTGCTTAGGCTGGTCTTAAACTCATGACCTCAAGCAATCCACCCACCTCAGCCTCCCAGCCTGCTTTTTCTTTCTGTTCTTTTTTTTTTTTTTTTTTTTTCAGATAGAGTCTTACTCTGTCACCGAGGCCATAATGCTATGGCATCAGCCTAGCTCACAGCAACTTCAAACTTCAAACCTCTTGCCTCAGCCTCCTGAGTAGCTGGGACTACAGGCACCTGCCACAAGGCCTGGCTTATTTATTTATTTACTTACTTATTTTTGAGACAGAGTCTCACTTTGTCACCCTTGGTAGAATGCCATGCTGTCTTAGTTCACAGCAACCTCAAACTCTTGAGCTCAAGCAATTCTCTTGCCTCAGCCTCCCAAGTAGCTGGGACTACAGGCACCCACCACAATGCTCAGCTATTTTTAGAGACAAGATCTCGCTTTAGCTCAGGCTGGTCACAAACTTGTGAGCTTAGGCCAATCCACCTGCCTCAGCCTCCCAGAGTGCTAGGATTACAGGCGTGGGCCACTTCGCCCAGCCAACAATTTTTCTATTTTTAGTAGAAACCAGAGTCTTGTTCTTACTCAGGCTGGTCTTGAACTACTGATCTCAAGCAATCTTCCCACCTTGGCCTCCCAGAGTGCTAGGATTACAAGTGTGAGCCACCATACCCCATCTACTAGCATTTTAATAAATATTTTTGGAAATAGTTATGCTAACAGGTTGAAATTATATCTTATTGTGGTTTTGATTTGCACTTCTCTGATAAACAGTGATGTTGAGCATTTTTCATATACCTGTTGGCTATATGTCTTGGGTGTCTTTTGAGAAATGACTATTCAGATCCTTTGGCCACTTTTTATTTTTATTTTATTTATTTTTTACTTTTTTTTG